CCCCCCCCCCCCCCCCCCCGATCGATATCACGTGTGTCGAGGCGATACATATTTCAATATTCGCTTCAGGACCCACGCACAATCAGCTGATCGCGGAGTGATGAGGCGATGTTTTTCTCCCATTCTTTTATTCTCGGTTATTCTTTTTGCTGCTGCAATCCATAACTTGACTTTCTACTCCAAGAGGCTGAAAAAGAGGGGTTTTTTTTTGCTGTGACTAGGGTTGTTTGTTAACTTATGCTTATGAGTGGATAAATTTTTGCTTACCGTAGTCTGCTATTGGCACCAGGACCAACACGTACGCAATGATACACATTGTATAGCTCGTCAAACGCCCCATTCTTCTGGTCTCATTCTCGTCCAGCCCAATTTTTAACGATTTTTCGAGGCTTTTTTCACTCTAGGAACACCGATTCACGCAGTTTCTTCGCCTTCATCGCACTATTCTCCAGCTTATCTTCCATCTTTCGTCATAATCGAGATTACCCAAAATTATCGTGAACTATGCTTTTAGGAACGGGATCTGCTACTGAATTTTCGCTTCTGTCAACACATATGTTCGTGCCAATGAGATTGCGGGGTCGAGAATACTGGAAGGAGTGAAGCGATGGTGGAAGTAGGGGACCAGTAATTCCTCAAAGTTAGAACAACGAGCTGAAGGAAAGTCAAAGGAGAGAAGTGCAACAAGCTGAGAAGTGTAAGTTTTTGTTTTTTTTTTCAATTGATAAACAAATGTATAGAGGGTTTTAACGCAGCGTGTGGTTGTTTTGTATTTTTACAGCTCATAACCAAGCAATCCGCGAAGGAGGTAAGCAGGAAGCACTAGGATCCGTTCACGACATTTTCATAATCTCCAAGCTCGCAAGCGCCCAAAAGGGACGGAGCTCTATATAACCCTTGATCCAGTGGTTTCATGCAGCGATGAAGACGAGTTCTATCGAATTCTGCCGGGGAAATCTTTAATTTTCAATTGTTAACGCCTTTCCATTGAGATTTTTTATTTCTTCATTTTTTCATCTTGTAATTAGCATTTTTATCTGTAACATAACTCTACAAGAGAATAAAAAATTTCCAATTTTCTAACGGTCATCAAGGTTTTCCGATTCATGGGCGAGCGCTATGAGATACAACCATTGCGGTTGTAATAATTCCCCGTAAAATTCATAAGTGGTGGAACGAAATGAAGCGTGGGTTCACCCAGACTCTCCATTCCCATTCATTGAGCACCAGAAAAGTGTTGTGCAGGAAAGGGTCCCGTTAGATGGAAGTTTCCGGGCTCATTTTCCTGGTCCTTCAGGATATCGAGGTAAAGAAACACGTAGATAGACTACTGAAAATGACTGCTCTTGTTTGCCACATCGACATCTGGGAGCCGCTACGGAGCCCAAAATAAAAGATAAGAATGGTAAAGCCTCATTTTTTCCAGTATTTCAGGTATTGTAACCGTTTCCCTCTGTCGTTTTTAAGATGTGCCCCGCATTCGATTTCCATTCAGAGTCGTAATGGCGTTTGAATGGACCTATACAATGACTTGCAATGGCCAGACGTTGCCAACGGCCAAATCAGTGCTTTTACCTTTGAAGATAGGTCTGGTATTAAGTAGTAGAACCAGAGGGGGGGGGGGGGGGGGGGGGGGCGGGAACGTTCTGTTCCCCCGGGCGAGAATGCTATCGAATTTCGCC